AGAACTTGGACAATTATTTAGTTAGGGGACTAGCTATTGCACTGCATTTTCACCGACCTCAGATTTGGATGTACGATTCCCTCAAAAAGGTAGATTCGTTTTTTCCGTATCTCTTCAAACGTTATATGAGCACATCTTTCTTGCACTGAGTTTTTCGACTTTTTTTTTTCAAAACGGATTTTGGACTTGTCATCATTAGGATGCTAAATGGTGATGCTGCTGCATCAAACATTTGAAATTTTTCTAGCGATCGAAGTTGCTGAACAGATTGCTTGTTTCGGAATTTTGGCTGTGGGCCAAAGTTCAAAATTTTGCGGTATATTGCTGAGAAAATCATTTGTAATGCAAACGGAACTATCGCGATATTCCTTGACTGAAGCTTTATTTTCGCGTGTGATTTTGATTCTTGACCGCGTTTGGACAGCTGTTCAGGCGAAGTGTGGAAATCCGAAAATTTTTTAGTTTTTGGAACGAATTCGAAGTATTTTGTTATTCACAAAAGCGACACTGTTATTGTTTTTTCATCAGGTTCACCCTTTTAGAAGGTTAGAAGAGAAACAGTGACAATTTTGAGTTTCAAAAAAATTTTTCTCCGCCTATATAAGTACAACCGGGCAGTCTGTTCAACAGTTTCGACTTCCCAGTCATATCGGCATCTGTTTGTATCACGTTTTTAATATATTAACTTGAAAAATCGCTGTAGTAGAAACGGGCTTACACTCCGCTCACTAAAATCTTCGACTGACATAGAAGCGTTTTCCCACGCTAATTAGTCTTGTGCTAAGATTAATCACATTAGAGTGGGAAACAAGAGCAAGTTCTGCAAAAATACATGACACACATGTTAGATTTTGCACTTCCAGAGTTTCACATGTTTGCCACGAATTTGTGCGGAACTCTTTTTGACCAAAGTAGTGTGATTAATCTTAACGACATGTGCAGTAAGCATGGAAACGTCTACATGTATCAGGAGTGCTTTTGTGAGAGGAATGGAACTGGGTGTACGTCCACTGAGTCATTACTATGCGCAAATATTTTTCTTTCTCCGTTTTTTATTAGACGGGTTGAAATTTTGTAGTAGTTGGCAACAGTATTACTTGGTCGAATTGTTTTTCCATATACTGCCCTCTATATCTTGTGGTTCCAAATCTGGCATTTTTGGCTGTTCTGTGGTTCCACCACTTCTAAACGAATTTGCTCGATGCTACATCCGTTAGAAAGCAAAATCCTGCTCTTTGCAACGACTCCTTGGTGACCCTAGCTTGGGTTGCCCAAAATCTGAAACATTGAAAAAATAGAGACCACTTCTTACGTTAGATCTACTCTATCGAAGTGCGGAAAGTTCATGCCAATTGGATTGTCTGTACGGGAGGTAACATCTCAGAAAGTCGTAACTTCGTAGAGACGCCCGATTTGCACGATGTTGTTGAAAAGTTCACAGAGATGATGATGCTAACATTGTTTGGCAATTTCATTTGAAATGATCAAAGCTTGAGTGGTCTTCTTTTTCTATCTTTTCCTTTGCAGAAGTGCTTAATAAAGAGCCGCCAAAGTATAATTGCAAAGACTTGGTTTTGCTGTCTAACAGAGTCAGTATCAAGGAAATGCGTTAAAATAGCAGGAAGTTACGAACCTTCAAAAAAATGAAAGGGCAGAGGTTTTTGTCCGACTTAATATATGATTTTTTGCCTGAAGAAGTTACACGCGCTGAGCTCACGAAAGCAAGTTTATGATGAGATTTTATGGTAGTTGTCAGGTAGTGGCAAGCTTCACATCCCAGCATCCATTTTCAAACATGTTTTTCCTGCAAACTCAAGTATAATGTCTTCAAATTCTCTGCAATCTGGAGTAAGTTATGTTAGGAGGAGAAGACTCATGTGTGTGCAGCTAATAATGGCCAGGTCTTTCTCGAGCAATGAAGCAAAGACTCTGTTTATAGAAATTCTTCTGTTGTATCTAAATCCATTCTGCAAAAAACTTGCTTGGCATAAACAATGATTTTTGCTGGATTTAGAGGGAGTGGCGCTTAGGGAAGGTTTATTGATCTTAAGCTTCTTGAAGCGCAATCCTGATTCACTGCGATTCATGTATAGTGATTGAGTAGGGATCCACACCTTTTCTATAACTGCTTCCATTTTTTGCGACGAAAATAAGCTTACTTGCTTTTTTCCCATCAACCTAACTAACTTTGAGTTTTTATTGTAACAACATTTTGCTGCTAATGATGCTCATGAGTTTGTAGATATTAGTAGTAGTAAGAAAGGAAAGCAAACCATCCTGCTTAGCTTTTTGTTGTACTAATTATAGATTGCTCTATAGTTTGACTGTGTTAAGGTTTGCCGAGGCAAGGACCGACAAAGCCTGTGATTGAAGAGCCTGTAACTGAACGAACAGAGCTGCTGAAACATAACGCTTCTGATAACGATGAACCAGCGGATGCTGCCGTGACCCACGTTGACACTTCGTCACATCATCAGCAAGTAGAAGAATCGTCAGAACAAATCGAACATCCAGACGTCGCTGAAAGAATCGTCGCTGAGGACACAGAGAACACAGATGTATGTTGAAAGCTAGTTTTACTTGGTGCTACTTGCATTGCTTCACTAGAGAACACACTATTTTTTCTATCGTTTCTTTGTATGCTGTGTTTTTCCACTAACAATCTTCCACTTGGAATCTTTTCACTATCAACCTGACGCACTCCCCTCCCCTCCCCCCCCCCCCCATCTCCCAGTACTTCCCCATAGTCTGCCCCTTTTTTCCCTAAGCAATTGCTTAAGTGCACGCTTTGGAACACTGCATCTTGTACTATATGTTTATCGTAAACTAGATGTCAATTGATAGTTTTGCACTTCAACTGAGTTTTGGAGATAGACTAGCAATAGCAGAAGGGATGTGGAAAATATCGGAGTTTTGACCTGCAAGAAATTCAAATATTTTTTTTTTAGAAAACTGGTTAACGAATATTCGTTCTTCATCAGTTCTATTTGCTCTCTATTCGATATTGGGTGATGATTGTTGAAGCGCAGAAGAACAGTGTTCTTGATTCCTTCAGAGAACCTAAACTTTGCCAGATATTTGTTGGTGCTTTTGTGTAGCGTGCCAAATCTAGCCAGATTTTATCAAAATTGATTTTTTTAATGGTGGTCAGTTCCTAAAACATTATCAAAAATCCTAGCGCATAGATTTAGTATAGCTTTTTCGATCTGAACGAATCAATTTTAGAATTCACCTGTTGTACGAGATGCTGATACCAAAGAGGGTGAGGAAACTACGGTGATTACCGAGGTAAGTCTGCTTGTGGGAAGTTGCAAGATTGAAAATAAAATCTGCACAAATCAAGAATTTCATAATAGGTGAAGAAAAATTAGAATGTTGTAAATTACATCAAAAATCGCTCCTTCTACCTTAACATTTCCTCCTCTGCAGTGCTACTAACCACGTTTCCCTCTTACCTTGTGATCGCATGCCAAATCAGAACGTTGGGATGGATCTGATGTAAATGTTGTGAATTTGTTTAATCGATGGTCAAAAAATTGCAACTTTGTTCTGAATTTTTTTTTTCGAGCAAGATCTTGCAAGCACAGCAAAGTGGAATATTTAGTACCAGGGCCCGCCACGCGTTGGTTCGAAACATTTTTGATAACGAAGTCCCCTATTACTTCGCAAAAATTTACGAAATCCCCATTAACGTCAAAATCGGTAGAAAAACCTTCATTCAGATAGCATAACAATACAGAAGCAAAAAGAGCAAATTTTGAAGTAATCATCACGAACAAAAAACCATATTTTTGAGTTGGCTTTTGAGTTGGTTCAAAGGCTTTTAATCGGAATGGTACCACTTTGGTGTTCAGCATGTCAAAACCCCTAGGGCCAACATTCAATCAAATCTATAGCCTACGACAATTTAGCAATGCAACTGTCGCCTCATAGTCCAAAGTACGCACTGTACGCATGTGATTGGAGCGCGATATCTACCATTGCGTATGTTTTCGTTTTTGGCTCAAAAAAGGAGGAGAGGCAATGGTTTGATTCGCTCTCTTCACTAGATTTTGGAACATTCTAATCGTTCAAATGAAAGACCATATGTGCCGGACCCTGGTTGGTGCACCTAGAATTTGTGGTTTTGGAGAAAACCGTTCTACTCATTTAACATTTGCGAAAACTTTTCAACTGAACATGTTGGGCTTCCAGCGAACATACTTTTACAGAATAGCATATTCTAAATGGATGTTGCTTTCAGCGAGCATATTTTTACAGGATAGAAGTTCTAAATGGATGTTTTTCAGATCACCAAAGATAATGGTACAAATGTAATACGAACAACGACAAAAACAAAACACCTCGATGGAAGTGAGTCGACAATGGTCCAAATACACACAACAACGGCATCAATAACTCTTGAAGATTAAAACGAATATTCTTCCATATAATGCGTATGTAAACTTATGATGCTGCCGACTTATAATCAATACAGAAAATTTCACAAACATTTGTTTGGTTCAAAGACCTTGTACACATCCGTTGAAAGACTTCATTCTCTTATCATTTGTGGAACAAAGTAGCCGACTTCCTCAACCGTTGCAAAAAAAAGAAATAGGTTTTCGATGATGTATCGGGCAACTGCCGCGAGAGAAACCCTTTGTGAGACGATGAACAGCAACTTTGCTCACTGTCTTCTTTACAAGTGTTTTGTTCGTTTGTTTGTGAAAATTCTATATTCTGCAGTTATTCTGCAACTATGAAATTTTGTTTATATAAAGGTGATAAAATTGTGTTGTTTTCTTTGTTAGGGACTATAGAGATTTTTTTGAAAATCACCTTTTTTAATTTGGTGATTGCGTTCATACTTCATCGCATTTGAAATGCAAGCAGAACCGTACTGGTTGCATGAATTTCATAATTTTTAAGATTTGGAATGGAACCATCAGGTCTTTGGTAGCAGTAAGACTAGTTTGTGGCCATTGGGTCTACAGTTGTACTAGGAAGTGACCGCTGGAGAATGGGCTAGTTGACAGTGGATAAAACGAGGAGGAAATACGGGATGCATAAGAATTGCTTGAATTTATAGACTTTGAAATGGCATCACGCAGCGAATAAGTGTTTGGACAAATCAAGGATGGTTCGAGCCAATTCAATCTTGTTCAAAAGCCAGCTTTGAAAATCTCCCTCTCGAATTTGGAAGAAACTCGGATATCATTTTCAGCGCTCTCTGGGCATTTCAGATTGGGGTTATAAGGCTTCTAGAACCTTGAGGAAAGCTACCTAACTTAGCTCGGCCTTCTGGCAAGGGATATAGATGCTCTGAATCAGCTTCAAACACTGATTCCAAATATGCTATTCCTAGCTGGCGAGCACCATTCCTAAGCAAAAAATTATGGGCTTTTTCCTGCGCAAAATTGGCATACTCATCGACTCACTGGCATCACGACATCATCACCAAAGTGCTAATACATTTGCGTTGAGTTTATTTTTAGAAATATATAAGAAAATAATAAGAAAATATTGGATTTGTGTTATTTCACCATCTTAGCACCTTTTTCTTGCAAATTTTTATCTATAGGCAGTCTTCCCATGTTCGGTAGTATGCCAATTTTGCGCAGGAAAAAGCCCATAACTCGCTTAGGAATGGTGCTCGCCAGCTAGTAATAGCATATTCGGAATCAGCGTTTGAAGCTGATTCAGAACATATATGTGCCCCTTGCCAAAAGGCCAAGTTAGGTAGCTTCCCTTGTTTTTTTTATGCAAATAAAATCAGCACACAACCATGTGTCTCTTTAAGTGACATTGACTCAAAATTTCATTGTTATTTGCATAAAGGTCTGACATCATCAGAAAGACCCTTTCTTTTTTCAATCGCCATAAAAAATTTGGTTGAAACGGAAAATTCAGTGACTGTAAAATGGCTTTGGGAGAAGGTGTCGTTCGACTTCGGCAAGGAGGACTGTTTTCTTTCCATCGTGACGTGCAAACCTCTAAATTGTTTGCACCTTCACTGATTTTGAACGATGAAGTCCAGAACATCTCTGTGGGGAACGAGACGATTCCGATGACAAATATTTATCGCTACTATTCGTCTGCAGAAATTACAGTTTTTTAAATTCGATCTGTCAGCTAATTTTGGGACAAATGGCAGCTATCCAGAATTCAGATCAACAATTGTTATGAAGTTCAAATCAATTTTGTCTTTTTTTCATTGACGTTTGCACACTTGGAAAATTGTCATTAATTGACTCTCTAAGTGTGAAGAGTTATGAAAAAAGTGCTGAAATGGAAATCGTGCCACCGTTTGTAGTGTTAGCAGTTGCTGAGATTGATGTGGATGGTTGAGGCAATAATATTGGAATAATAATATTAATGGTAATAAATGATGTTCATATTATGAGATTATAACCTAAGAACTCCGTTTCGTTCCTATCCTTAGACGGAGTGTTGTGTTGTTTCTAGGCCATCCGCGGAACTCTTCAGTAAGGAAGGATGGCAAAAATCAAGAATAACTCATCTTTCTATTAGGTCGTTTCAAAAGTAATTTCGCTTTTTTCAAACGGGCACCACATTTGACGGAACAAAGGTTTTCAAGAGTTCTTAGAAGATTCTATCCAGAATTTTATTCTCTTTTTAACGGTTATGAAATTGTTGCAAAACAGTCAATGGGCTTTCAAAAAATATCCAAAATCTGCGACCCATGCTTTTTGAGATGGTCAAGTTCCAAATTTTTTTAAAACTTTCGTATCAATCCTCAGAAAGAGTTCAAGTAACGATTCGATAGAGTAAACATTATAGAATACAGCACTGCTTTTTTCTCTTTTTTCTAGCCCGCCGGAATTTTTTAAAAGAATTTTTAACAAAACCATCGAATTTTGGCAGGCCTACGTCAGCCACAATCGCAGAATTTGAAACTTCCAAGATAGTATATGACTTAATATTGATTTTACATTGCAAGTGAGAGCTTACGGATTCAAAATATCAAATTTCGAGTTTTTCGGGTACAGCCGCTAAAAATTTGGGTTATGATGATTTCTCCCCTGTTAACTAAACGAATCGGAAACAAAAAAACACCTGTTAGAAAGTGGAGTAAATGCTGCATCGAATAGTGCGCGAGCTGCTCTTCTTTTGATGTTATACAAGGATTTAGCTGCCCAAGTATGGAAATCGATAACATCAGTTAAAATTCTGTTAAAAATGTATGACAAGCTATGGAATGGAGAAAAAAGTAGTACTGTATTCTATAAGGTTTACTCTATGGAATCGTTTCTTGAACTCCTTCTGAGGATCGATATGAAAGTTTTAGAAACTTGTGAAACTTGACCATCTCAAAAAGCATGGGTCGCAGATTTTGGATATTTTCTGAAAGCCCATTGACTGTTTTGCAACAATTTCAAAACCGTTAGAAAGAGAATAAAATTCTGGATCGAATGCTTCCAAGAACTCTTGAAAACCTTTGTTCCGTCAAATGTGGTGCTCGTTTGAAAAAAGCGAAATTACTTTTGAAACGACCTAATATATAAAATTGTTATTAGAATTTATAATTCAAACTTTTATTCTCAAAAATAGATTTCTAATAATTTTTGATGCGTTTGCGTATGCGGTTCTTAGTAAATTATATTTTATAGATTGAAATAATACAATTAATTGAGCTTGAGATATGAGGCAGCCTGCAGAGTTGGCTGTGTGCCAGTGCCGTGCCAGCCACTCGCCGGAACGGTTGTGTACGCTCACTCCATTCAAAGTAATTACCACGACTGCTAGCGAGGCGCTGGAACGGCGCTGTCATGGCCCTGTCACGTGCAACTCTGGACACTTTTCAACTAAATTTAGTTTAGTGTCTTTGATATGTTTCAAATCTGTCGTGAGTCGTAATGTTATGTGTAAGCCATATGCGCCCAAGTACCAGTTATGCCTAGGGGCAGTAGTTGTATCTGATCGTTCTGTGTCAGTATCTGTGTTGGTAATTTGTAATCTCCAATAAAAAATTTTCAAACCATTTTCGATCAAAGGGTAAATCTGTAGAGTAACAAAATCAGACTGAATCCGTGATAACTGGTTTTCTTTTAGTTTACACAAAACAAGAAGTGGAGTGCTTGGCACAGCACCACACTACATTATTACTAGCGCAAAAAACATCGTGTGTCTAAAATATTGAAATCATACTGATTTATGTAAACACTAATTTACAGGCATTTACTTCAATATCTGAGTCATAAAATTTTCTTGCACACACGTTCAATAGATTAAGGAAGAAAATGAATAAAAAACTTGCTATAACAACTCACGCAATACTAAGGAACAGTTGAGCATATACACACGTTGATTTAAAGGATCGGATAAATTCATTAAAAAACGGAACTGAATTAAATTATGAATTCAATCCACATTCTTATTATTGAATGTCATTAATGTTTAGTAGAAACTCTAATGGGTTCAGTCTAGTGGGTGCAATTGCGGGATGTTAAGATTCTACTGCTTCTCCGTAGTAAATCCATATTACTTTCCTTCTGATAAGTTTGTTGAGGTCGCCATACTCATTGTTTAAGTACATACACTGCAGCATCATTGCCCTACGGTTATTACAGGTATGCACCACCATCCACACAATTCCTCATCAAATCGCTACTAATTTCACTGAACAACGCAATCCAGTCCGACAGCTGCAGCATTACCATCTACACCTCCAAATAATGCGGCACCACCATCTACATCAAATGATGCCAATCCAGCGCAGCGCCATCTTCCACATCAGTCCACATAAATCATAAAATCACACCACTAATCCACACCAGTCCGCATTAAACTGCGGCACTACTATCCACGCCAATCCACACGAACCTCGCTTCATATCAACACCATCCACACCAATCTACACGAACCTCGCCGGCAGCAACACCATCCAGACCAATCCACACGAACCTCGCCTCATATCAACACCATCCACACCAATCTACACGAACCTCGCCGGCAGCAACACCATCCACACCAATCCACACGAACCTCGCCTCATATCAACACCATCCACACCAATCTACACGAACGTCGCCGGCAGCAACACCATCCACACCAATCCACACGAACCTCGCCTCATATCAACACCATCCACACCAATCTACACGAACCTCGCCGGCAACAACACCATCCACACCAATCCACACGAACCTCGCCTCATATCAACACCATCCACACCAATCTACACGAACCTCGCCGGCAACAACACCATCCACACCAATCCACACGAACCTCGCCTCATATCAACACCATCCACACCAATCTACACGAACCTCGCCGGCAGCAACACCATCCACACCAATCCACACGAACCTCGCCTCATATCAACACCATCCACACCAATCTACACGGACCTCGCCGGCAACAACACCATCCACACCAATCCACACGAACCTCGCCTCATATCAACATCATCCACACCAATCTACACGAACCTTGCCGACAGCAACACCATCCACGCCAATCCACACAAACCTCGCCCCACAGCAACGCCATCCATAGCAATCTACACCAAAATTATCACTCCCAAATCAACAACCCACACCTATCTTATCGACAGAAGAAATTGGAAATTATGAAAGACCATTATTTAATCGACAATGGCTCGGGGCAGGAGGAGGGGAGATGTAGATTTTCAATGAGCGGACACTTCAATATTTCTGGGATGCTTGAATTTGGCGCTCTATACCAACACACTCAGAAACGGTGGTATGTACACGTGAAAACAAGTCATTGCGCAATTTTAAAGGCGTTTATTTTATAAACTACTTGAACTATGCGTAT